CAGACAGGTGTGCTGCCATACCCTGCTGTCGGAGTCTGTGCTGCTGAGCCGAGGGCTGGAGGCGGAGCGCGTCACCCTGTGGGAGGAATCCAGGGTCGTGCTCGGCTCTCGGTTACCCCCTGCAAGCCCTGCTACCCCAAGGGCACCTGAGCTGCCTGTCTTGTGTAAGGTCCTCCAGCCACCTGGGGGCGCTGTGTGGTCTTGCCTTTCCCCTTCCGCTGCTCTGGATGAGATAGGAGGCTTCCCGGGGGGGTCAGTCACCTTGGGGGCGGAGGGGACCTGTACATCAGGGAGTTTTAATAGTCTGAGACAAGCTGAGAGATGGGAGAGACACACAGGACTGGGAGAGAAGCTGCATTGCGTGAAAACCTTACAAACAAGCATAGAGAGAATGAGGTGAGGTAAATTCTAAATAATTTAACCAATCACGGACCAATTACACTAGCTCCGCCCCCAGCCAGAGTGAGGCCACCACTCACCTTCCTGCCAGGACTGCTTGTTGCCGTGGAGACACCAGAGGGGGCGGGGCTGTGGAGCTTGTTGTTGAGGTTGTTGATGATCTCACGGGTTTTGGCTTTTTTTGGAGAAAAAGGAAAATGATTCACCTGAGGTTTTGGGTCTCTTTTATCGTGAGCGTATTAGTAGTTAGGACAGTGACAGACACACACTGTGACAGGCAGACACAGCGACAGACACACTGTGACACACTCAGTGACAGACACACTGTGACAGAGACACTGTGACAGAGACAGTGACAAATACAGTGACAGACAAACACAGTGACAGACAAACACAGTGACAGACAGACACACACAGTGACAGATACACACACACAGGGACAGACAGACACACACAGGGACAGACAGACACAGTGACAGATACACACACACAGGGACAGACAGACACACACAGGGACAGACACACACAGTGACAGATACACACACACAGGGACAGACAGACACACACAGTGACAGACAGACACACAGTGACAGATACAGTGACAGATACCTTGACAAACACAATGACAGACACAGACACACACAGTGACAGATACAGTGACAGACACACACAGGGACAGATACACACACACAGGGA